CGATCTGGTCGGCCAGATGGCCTCGCCGGTGATGGACCCCTCCTGCAGATACCGCGACCCAAGGAACATGACCACTTCCAATCCCGCTGCAACTGCTGGAAAACCTGCCTTGCAAGCTATCTGCATCAGAATCACCAGGGGAACCGCGTCATAGAATTTCTCGATGTATAACAATAAAGTCATGGCCAAACCCCCCATCTCCACCCCCGTCTCATCAAAAATGGCGCGCAGCAGTCCTGCTCTGAGTGCCGAACCGCCCTTGATAGCCGTGTCCCAATGGTCGGACAAACCAGCACACCACATATAGCACACGCCGCCACGCGCTCTCGACCACAACTTGGCTGGAAGTGGTAGCATACCCAGCGCCCTATCCCCCGCTGCGGGACCTGGTTTAGCCACCGTCGCACGTTTTGTCGCCGATAACTGCCGTGGCCAAGCCAATGTGCTTTCACTCCGTTGCAGTATACATAACAGCTCTTCCTTTGCCGTCGGAGGGGAGTCTGTCAATGTCCGAGGGGCCCAGTTGGTCCAAGCCTTTTGCCTCCGATGCCGCCGTCGCACGCAGCGCGTCATTCAGCATGTCCATGTCGATAGGGTCCAGGTCCTCCTGTATAGCTCTGCGCCGCGTGCGCTCCAGCTGTTCAATAATGTCCTTGCGAGTGTCGACTGGGTCCGTCCAACTAGACTCCCATTTGCTGGCTTGCGCGTTCATGATGATGGTGGGGTCGGCCGTCACAAAATCTGGTCGTATAGCCATCTCGTATCTAGGTGCCTCCTTCGGCTCGACGTGTCTGTCTAAAATTCCCGCCTTAGTTAGCCAGGCCTTCTTCGCCCAGGTAGCAAAGCTTTTCCTCGCCGACGTCACCGATCTGGACGATGCCTTAGCCAGGTGTTCCTCCGTTTGGGCAACCCGGTTTGCCAGCTGTCCCACGTCTAAGTCTAGAATGTCTTCTGCCATGTGGAAGTACATATCGCCGCTGGTCTCGGTCACGTGCTTGTTGAAGGCGCCCTTGTGCGGGATGCGTCCTTGCGCCGTTTGAGGATGCGCTTGACGCGCATGTTTTGCTGATTGACGTCCGTGCAATTCACCGCCAGTGACTGATATCGCACCAAATCGGTAGCCAAGCTACTCCATTCCTCAGCTGGTCCATATCTCATGTGTGTCCTTCCTGGCGTGGGTTTCGCACGTATCCATCGTCTGCCAAAGCCCGAGGCTCGCCCCCTACTCCGCTGCGCATCCTGATCCTCCACCTGCTCATTCATGATGTGGGCCTCCTCTACCTTCGCGACCCAATCTCCGTACTGCTCCGTCAGCTGGTACTCCTCCTCGTGGTGTCTCGCGCTCCTGATGATCATCTTGTCACCTATGTTGCGCATCTCCTCCGTCGGCTCCTTCTTGTGATCCATGATGCTGGCCTGCTCCCAGATCTCGTCCGTGATGTTGTAGGGCTTCCTCGTCGCCGAGTTGAAATGGCTGTCGGTCGCCGTCTCCTCCAACATCATGGCCTCCGCATAGGCCTCCTGCAAATGCTCCTCCAAGGCGTGCTGCGCCTTCTGGCGCACCGCCTGCTTCTTCTTGCTAGTCTTCGAGTCTGGGTCCGCAATCTTTCGGGGACGACCTTGATACGGGAGTGCCTTCGGGACCTCGAGCTGCGGATGCCACCGCTCCTGCCTAGTGCCCTCTATCACCAGCTGGAGTCCATAGTGCGTGCGCCATGGTGCTCGGCCCGCAGCCAGTAGCTTGGGCCTGGTCGCGAAATCAACCCTTGCAATGCCGTAGTCGACGAGGCTGTCCTTGCCCTTGTCGCACGTGATGCCGATGTCTGGGCGGGTGACCACTCCACCAAGCCTGCCTGGTAGCTCAGCTTTCTCCGTCTGTTCGAGTGGGATATCCCAGTCCGCCTAGACAACCCAAGGGTCCGTGAGAGATTTGACAAATCCTGCCAGGGATCGGATCCTGAGGAAATTCGCCCCTGGGAAACCTTCACCTGGTACCAGATGCGCCGATGCCAGAATGATATTGCCCGAGCGCGTGTGGACATTGAGCGCAGCAAAGCACGTGAACGGGTCGACGTCACCGTTGTCCACTATCCGCTTCCGCAGCACGCCATAGCCCGTGCATGCCAGGTGGGTCTTGACCAAGATCAACTCACCGCCCGTAGTGCCTGACTCCGAACGCTTGGTGGGCACCGCTGCTGTGCCCGACAACTTCCAGCCGCCACGCGAGACCTCCTCCCGCACCTGCTCTAACTTGGTGCGGTCTACATGCGTCTCGCACATCATGATGATATCCATATGTTTGCCTTCCTCCGAGATGAACTCGCGGGCCTTGGGCCCCCACATCGTAATATTGGAGAAGAGGATGCTAAAGGTGCTCCGACTGCTGCTTGATTTTGTCGATGATATCTTGCCTTTTCACGCCTCTGTTCTGCGGAGGGGCCAGGCGGGGCCTCTGGCTCCGCCTGAAGATGCCGCCGCGGAAGCGGTGCCGCCGCCCGTTGCCTCCGCGGCCTTGCCGTCGTCCGAGCCGTCCAGCGTCTTCCGCTTCTTCTGGGCCTGGCGCCGTAGACTGGCCGCCTCCTGCTTGAGTTCGCTGAACTGGCGGTACTGATCCGCCGCGAGCTGGAGAAGCTTGTCCAGCGCCTCCATGTCCGCTTGGAACTTTTTGAGCTTGGTCCTGTCATCCTCCTCGTAGTCATCCAGGTCGTCGAAGAGGTCGCCGACCGCGGGTGCCTGCCACTCCGCCTGGGGCAGGTCAGGGGGCTGGCAGGCAGTCTCCGCCTGGTGCGCCGCCAACGCGCGCTTGTGCTCCAATACCGCGCCGGCCGCGTCGTCAATAGCCTTCTCGTGCTTGACGCGCAGCTGCAGGATCTTCTCCTCCGCCTCCTGCAAGGTGGACGCCGTGCTCTCCACCTCCAGCTGAGACTTGTTGAGCTTGTTGATCGCCTGCCGCAACTCCAGTTCCTTCGAAGCCTCCTTCTTGGGGGCCTGCGCCGCCGCTTGGACCTGCGACTGCACCGCCTTGACTGGTCCCAGATCGATTTGAGGGGCCATCTGCGCCGTGAGTGTCTCAACCCGTTCCAGCATGCTGCTGAGCTCTGCCAGCGAGCCGTGCACTGCCGTCGACTTGCGCCAGGGAGGCCCCTTGCCGCCCTTGCTCTTGCCGAGCAAGCCGAAACCTGAGTCACGTTGCGCCAGTGGCGTCCATCCTGGGAGTACAGCCTGGCACTTGTAGCACCAGCCGCCCGACTTCTCGAGCTTCCAGTCGTAGACCCATCCGCCGCAGGTCATACAGCACATGTAGGTTTGGCGCCCACGCCCCATAGCACGCGCAGGCTAGCCTCTGGAGTTGCCAGCTTTGTGTCCGAGAAAGCAGACTCTTGGCCCCAGCAGCGCGCAGCTCGACTGGGGTTGCCTGAATCGGGAGCCAGCCTCGGACTAGAGGTATCCACTTCTTGCCCTAGGGACAACAGCATCTTGAGCCAAACTGGCTACGGAGGAGGAGGAGGAGGGGGGGGGAAGAGGAGGGGGAGGAGGAGGAGGAGGGGGATCATCGGCGGCGAGCGAAGGGGGGGAAGTGAGAAGGAGACGCCTTCTCAGAAGGCCGCGGGTAAGGCTCATGACACTATTTAGAAGGCTGGGAACTGCCGAGCCTTCCGAGAAGACCCGCCCCTTCTCACCCCCCCTCGGGCTCGCCGCCGAGAGGAGGTTGAAGGAGGGGCGGGGGAGGAAGAATAGGAGAAGGAGGACGAGGAGGAGGAGGAGGAGGAGGAGGAGGAGGAGGAGGAAGAGGTGGATGGGTAGGAGGATGAGCGTGGACGAGGAGCGGTCAAGAAGAGGAGGAGCAGAGCGACGACGTCGACGACGAGCAACATGCAGGATGAGTCAACGACGCTGCAGTACACCCGCCCAGCCCAGGTGCAAATCTGCCAAACAGAGCAGGACTTCCTCTTCGCTGCGAGAAATGCCTCCCTCGAAAGACGAGCGTTCTTGTTGGCCTGCCGTGCGGGCGAGAGCCCCGTTCTGGAGAAGCAGCCGCGGCATGCTCGTAGTGACGTTTTTGAAAAGGGAAGCGAACAGAGGTAGGACAGATCAAGTGCAGCGAGGCGCCCAGCGAGAGCCCCGTGCTGAACACGAGTCGACTCAACCCGTGTGCAAGTGTTGCGCGCAAGTGTGCACACCTGGCCATGCGGCGTGAGGACGTCAACACGCGGCGGCCCCATGTTGTTACACCAGAGAACAAACCCAATTAGTGGAGGTCCGACCGAGAACCCGGGAGCCCGGGAACCCGGAACCTACCGAAGTCGTCCCAGAACCAATAACCGGGAACCCGGAGCCCGGAACCCGGGAAGCCAGCTTGCTACCGAAATCGGCGGAAAATGTTCGCCACATGTTTCATTTTCCGCCACGATCATTTCAGTGCAAGCTTTGATTGCGGAACATACCGCTCTGCATATTTGCAGCAGCTGCGTGTGTGTCCAACGCGGGGCCATGGCCCTTGTGGAATTTCCCGAGCGAGAGACACAGAGCTTGAGCACCAAACGCCCTGCATCCGTGTAAGCGCTGCAAGTTGGCTGAGACGAATGATCGTGGCGCTGAGGCGAGAGCCCCATTTTGAACACGACCCCTCTCCACCCTCGAAGTTGTTACAAAGTTACAAAACAATTTCGCGCGCCGCGAAAGTCGTCCACAATCAAGGGAGAGGGAAGGTGCAGGACGGAGGAGTCGTCTATAAGGGAGGACAGGGAGGACAGGGAAGGGAGGGCAGGGAGGACAGGGAGGACAGGGAAGGGAAGGGAAGGGAGGGAAGGGAGGACAGGGAGGAGTCGTCTACCAGGGTTGAGAAGGACGATGTGGAGTAGGACGGAGGCACGAGAGGGTCATTTGGAGCACGAGGAGGAACAGGAAGCGGAGGAGGACATGAACTTTATAGCATGATTACGCCGAGCATGAGGAGAACGTTGTGTTGGCACTGTGACACGTCAGTGTGTTGAGCCGAGGTGTCTCAGCAGCCCTCCGACGAGGACGTTCAGAGGTTGCTGCTGCGGGCAGAGACGGTCTTGCGAGGCCAACGCGACTGGAGGCTCGGGACCGGCCTTACGGCTGCCAAATGTTGCGAGGGGCGGTGGCGACGATTTGCAAGTCAGTTTTCTGGGCGGTCTTTGTCGAGACCATGTAACAATCCACCACAGCATGGACGCTTGCGTGGCTTCGATCTTTCTTGTTACCTGGTGGCTCACCAGCATACGTGTGGCATGCGTTTGAGGTATTCACTAGCCTGAGGCATGTGTATGAGTCGATTGCGGCATGCGGGGGACTCGGGGTTACAGATGGGAGGGAGAGACTCGAGGGATGTGAAGCGATGAAACCGCGCATGTTCGCTCGGTTTCTCGATGTGGGGGGTCCGCATCAACCGGCGCCCCACTGCGTGGCGACCTTTCCTGGCGACGCGTTGGCCTTTCCAGCTGGGCCAGCTTGTTCGGGATTGGCAGATCACGGCAAGGCTAGGCAAGTGGCCATGTTATGTACATTGCCCCTTGGGTGGCGCAGCGCTCGCGCGCGTGGCCGCCAGCAGAGTCGCGCCGCCTGGGTCAGGCTGCTGACCACGCAGTGGCCCGTGTGGAGGCTGCTCGACCGGCTGGCCGCTGCCGAGGTGGTCAATGTGACTTCCGGCGGCTCCTCGTTCTGGATGCACGTGCCCCGCGCTCGGGCCGCCAGACCGCATTAGCTATCGGATCGTGATGGGAGCGGGGTGGGGGGAGCGATGACGCTCGCAGGGACCAAGGGCGCAGATCTCCTGCCACATCTCTGTAGAGAGCTCCGGCCGACTTCCTCTGCACATGGGATACAGACCCGCAGCACGCGAGGCGATCTGTGCGACGCAGGATGAGAGAGAGAGAGAGTAGAGGGACAGAGAGAAAGAGGAATCAAGAGAAAGAGAGTGGGACGAGAGAGAGAGAGAGAGAGCGAGAGAGAGAGCGAGAGGGAGAACAGACAGAGAGAGAGAGAGAGGTGCTGCGAGGCCAAAGCTCTGATCCTCGTCGTCCAAATCTGCCCCCCCCTCCCGCCTGCGACACTACCCTGCAGCAGCACTCGGTGCTCTCCATCCTCCTCCCCTCTCCTGCGTGTCGGCCGGCGGAGGCGACCCCAGCCAGAGGTGTGCCTGCAGAGGGGGGAGGGGGTCCATCTTGGCTTCGAGCGGGGGGCC